GATTGATTTTGGTTCTGCAATTCATATTATGAATACCATGCGAGCACTTTCCGAATTAAGAAAACCAAAGAAAAATAAAAGGAGCATCTATTTAACTAATTAAATGCACTATAAAATTAAAGTTGTGGGGAATTTTAGATTGATTTTAAAATTTGGATTCATTTTATATTTGAAAATTTGCTTTTACATTCCACTATTTTTTTTAAAAAAAAATTGATTTTAGTTTTCAAACTTTACGAGTGTTAGCTATACATTTTTTTCAATGGAAATATTTTTAGTTTCTTGGAAAATAATTTTTCTATTACTGGTGAAGCAATACTTGGTAGTTTAAATAAAATTGATCTAGACTCCACTTTTGAATGCAACTATTTATCAATACATATTGATACTTCTATTAAAAATAGTAAAATTGATGAGAATTCCTTTATGTTGTGACAAATGAGATTAGGTCGCATCTCTATTGAAAAAATTAAAATATTGATGAATGATAGATTTTTAAACACTTTTAATTTTATTGATTTTGATACTTTTATGGATTGCATGGTTAAAAAACAAACTAATAAGACCACTAAAGTGTCACGAAAAGCTTAGAAATTTTAAAAATCATACACACTAATGCATATTGATCATTTAATACCCATTGTTTAAATTGTCAAAGATATTTTATCTCATTTATTGATTATTATTTCATATTTGTATATCTATATCTCTTATTTGACAAAAGTCTAGCACTTGATGCTTTTAGGACCTATAAAAATGAGGTAGGAAAAAAAAATCAAGATTGTAAGTTCGGATAAAGATGAAAAGTATTATGATATGTATACACTAAAAGGGAAAAATTCTATGTCACTTGTAGAATTTTTTTGAAAAAGAGGGTATTGTTGTAAAATACATAATGTTTGACACACCATAACAAAGTAGTATAGCTGAAAGAATAACCGTAATCTTATGAATATGGTGAGGAGCATGATTAATAATTTTAGACTACCATTATCCTTATAGAGTGAAGCATTAAAGACTATTGTGTATAGTTTAAATAGAATTTTATCTAAAATTGTCCTTAAGACACCTTTTGAGTTATGAAATAGATAAAAACCTCGTTTAAGTAATACACATATATGAGTTTGTCTTGTTAAGGTAAGGATTTATAATCTTTAATTAAAGAAATTAGATCCAATAATAACTAGTGGATATTTCATTGGTTATGCGATGAACTCTAAAAAATATATATTTTATTGTCATTCTCATACTATAAGAATAGTATATGTAAGAAATGCTAAATTTCTTAAGGATCTTGATTTTTATAATAGTGATTTTTCTTAAAATATAAAATTTAAAAAAATACAAGATTCAACCGAGTTGCATAAAGATACAATACAATTAGTGAATATTAAACAATAACCAATTTAAGAGCAACTAGTTCAAGAGTAAGGAGACTAATAATTTTTAATGACCATGTTGTATACCTTAAAGAGTCTAACTTTGATTTTAGACCTAAAAATGATCCAAAATTATGTTCACAAGTCATGAATGGAGAAAACTCTACTTTTTGGTATAATGCCATCAAGAAAGAAATGAAGTCTATGTCTAAAAATCAAGTTTGGCTCCTTATTGAATTACTAGAAGGATTTGAAGCTATTGGCTACAAATGGATTTATAAAACCAAAAGAGATTATTTTGGTAATATCAAGCGACATAAAACTAGACTAGTAGCTAAATGTTATATAAAAAAAGAAGGCATAAATTACTATAAAGGCTTATCTTTGATTTCTAAAAAGAATTCATTTGGAATTATAATGTCATTGGTAGCTTGTTTTGATTTAGAGTTACATTAGATAGATATGAAAATAATATTTTAAATAGAAATTTACATAAAGTTGTATGTATGAATCAACCTCAAGGTTTTTTGTGATGACACAAATAGCCACTTAGTTTATAAGCTAGAGAAATCTATATATGGGGTAAAGCAAACCTTTCGAAGGTGGTATGTTAAGTTTCAAAATATGGAGTGGTATATTCGGTTTCAAAATATTATTATCTTGTATAATTTTATTAAGTACATTGTTAATCAATGTATATGTGAGAACCCTTTTTTTTTTTTGTCCTATATATTGATGATATTTCACTTGCAAGTAGTGACTTGGATTTGCTTTATGAGACAAATAAATTTATTTCTCAAAACTTTAATATAAACATTGGGATGAAACTTTTTATGTCATTGGCATAAATATTCATATAGACAAGTATCAAAGAATATTAGAATTATCTCCAAAGGCCTACATTGATAAAGTTTTGGAAAATTTAGGATGTCAAATTGTGCTTCTTTAATTGCAATTTGTTGTCAAAGAGGATGAATTAAATTAGAATTAATGTCCATAAAATACATTAAAAAAATTAGTAGATGAGTAACATTCTCTACATATCCGCAATATCTGAATTTGATGTATGTATAGATCCGTATAAGACTTGACTTGACATTTATAATAGAAATGTTAGGAAGGTTCCAAAGCAATTTTGAAATGGAACATTGAAAAGTTGATAAAAAAAATCATAAGGTATTTATAAGAAACCAAAGATTACAACCATACTAACTATTTTGAAGTGATTGGTTATTTATATTTAGATTTTACTAGTTATGTAGACACAATAAAATCTACTTTTTGATATATTATATTTTTATTTTTATTTTTTTGTAAGAGGAGTTGTATAATGGAGAAGTACTAAGCAATTATTGTTGCTTCCTCTACTATAAAGTAGAATTCATTGCATGTTATAAATTAACGACATAGACAATTTGGTTAAGAAATTTTATTTATGATCTAAAAGTTTTTTATTCTATATTAAGATTAGTAAAGATTTATTTTGATAATTCTGTTCTAGCTTTCTTTTTTAAGAATAATAAGGGTAGAAGCTGAAACAAACATGTCGACGTAAAGTATCTCATTGTAGGAGAAAAATTAAAATTACATGAAGTGCTTATTAAACAATGATTGCAAATACCATGACTAAAACACTGCTGAAAAAATAATATAGACATCACACAGACGGTTCGGGTCGAGCTAACCCTTTTGATGTCAGCATTGTTTAAGTTTAAGACGAATCTTGGAATTAAGAAAGAAGATCCTGCGTTGCGTTCTTGCATGATTCTGCAAAAGAGATTTTTTAGTAATTGCTGAAAAATGTTTGGTCTGGGAGGAGCAAATTCCAAGTGATAGGCATGCCACCTGTATAATCGTGATTCCGACGTGGGTTTTGCTTCTCTGATGGTTCTGAAAAATATGTGACCACGAGACTTATCCTGTCGGGGTAGAAGGTTACCACCCATTCCATCACCATGTATTTCTCTTGGCATGACACTCAATGATTTGCTGCTATTTATGCACCTAGATTGATATAGACAACTGCCTGCACAATACATATGTGCCTTTTCAGTGCAGAAATAATTCCAGCACCAAAAGGGTTTCTTTAATTGCCCTGCCTACGAAAATAAATATGTACCCTTCCACTTTAAATATATTTACTCATGATGCTTATGGATATCCATGCATTCTTTTACTTCATGAGTTTGAATTTAATAATGAACACTGCATCAATTTATTAAAATTTTCCTAAATATTGACTATTAATGTGAGGATAAACTTTTTCTTTAAAAAGAAAATCTAGTTTTAAATGACACATAAATTGATTTAAGATACTTTTTATTATTGAGTTTTTTTTTCAAGAAAAAAAAAAGCGATATCTAATCCTGGATTTATATCATCTCTGAATATATTTTTTGTCAACACAATTATGTGTGCATAATCCTCGGGTTTGGATCTTGACTCGGTTGATAATTGGATATGTTCTCATTTTATCAATAAAAAGTATTTTTATTAATTATGTAAATATGCTATTTTAAAGATACCATATGATTTCTTAAAAAAAAAAATTAATCGCATTATTCTTTTATGTAATCTTTAGTTTTTTTTCCTAACGTGGTTGTTCTACTCTTTTTATGATTATTATTGAGTCCTTTTTATTTTTTAATAGATTTTCATCTAATTTTTAAGACAAAAGTGACAAGTGGATTGACTTGTCAGATCAAAACTACCTATCACTTATTATCGAAAAATTAACCAAAATTTTATCAAAACGGTCACATTAAAAAAATATTTATAGTTTAAGAATAAAAAAGCATAAAAGAAACGTTAAGAAAACGCAAAGAGAAAATGTTATTGATTAAAAAAAAAAAAAGATATGCAAGGTGTCTGTCATTTATTTTCTTTCATCCCACATCCGAATGTTTAAGACACCAAAAGTGATTTGGAATGTTAAATTAAGTAGCACCCCAAATTCATTTTAATTAAATGAATATGATTTGAAATCTTGTACTACAAATGCTGAAAGATAATCTGTTATGGAAGTCTGGTATGTCACTAAACAGGGAATACACCTCTGGCCCTGCCTTTCTGTGCCTGCCATATGAGGAATATGTTTATGTTCACCCTACTTAATTTAGAAAACTATTAGTTAGAAAAGAATCTCAAGAAGTAGAAAACTTTGATGCTAGCTAGATATGCTAACTAGGCATGGAATCATGATTTTACTGGTTATACTAAAAGAAAAAAAAATTGATAAAATCTCTTATAATAATAGTGAACAACAACCTTTCAAATAATAAATAATTTTTTCATAGACGTTATTAAAAAATTAATTGAAATTTTCTAACAAATATTGTTTGTTATGAGATTTTTTTTTTTTTTTTTAAACGATAGATTAATAGAGAAACCGACTGCAATATCAAATTCGAGTAACCAAAGAATCGAAGCGTGGTGGAGTATATATGAATAAAAAAGAAATGTCTACTTGGGGCGTATGTAATATGCAATACAAACCATCAGCACATGAGAAATGATGGTGACAACAATGTCTAAATATAAAACGAGGCAGTAAGTATTATTCTATTTAAACTTTATGGACTGACGTAAAATATATATATATATATATATAGGGCTGCATTCTCATTCGAGGCATTTATCGGCTGCCTCCGCTCCTAAGCTTGACCCGTGATTATGTTTGTGGACAACATGCTTGAAATAAGGTTTTTAAGGGTGTGTTGTTGTGGTCAATGTGGGGCATATGGAGGAGAATGATGATGGTGGATCTCACAGTGGACCCAGCCAAAAAAAAAACATCTCTCCTTTTCAATGTGGCAACCAATCATACCTTGCAGTACACTTCTTTTGTTGAATAAAGCCTTGCTTTAACTTGAAGTATGTGAGGTTGAGGTTGAGGTTGAGATCCACCCATTAATTACAAGACTTTAAGATTGCAAATTTGAATTAAAGTTGGATGATTTCTTGACCGAATTAGCTCATGCATCCTTTCTATAGTTGAGATAGTTGGGTATTCATCGTATTTTCTATTTGTTCGTAATCTATAAATTGACCACTTATTTTAATATTACGTATTTGTGCGAGTAATGTTAAAAATATATATATATACATGTGTGTGTGTGAAAATCAACTATACGAATAGGTTGTGTTTAAAATTATGATTATTAAATGAATATGATAAGAAAAAACTTGTTGCAAATTCTATGGAAATCAAACAAGATAAACTTAAATGATAAGTAAAATGTGATTAAAGAAAGATGATAATAAGAGAAAATAAAACTCATTTCAAGACATGCAATGGTTGGTGCTGACTTTAAAGTAGGTTTTTGTCTGCAAATAAAAGTTGTAAAAATCCTATTCCAAGATGTCATTAACCTTTCAGGTTTTTCTTAATTTGCATTCAAATCGAAAACCTAATTAAGCGAATCCCTTGCTTCTTTGATTGCTCTTAACAAACAAACAATGAAGGTCAAAATACAAACACAAAATGCAAAGAATAGAATGAAAGATTCAAGACGAGGAAAAAACTTGTGAATGAGTGCGAAGGCGAGTTAACGTAGACTTTGAAAAGTCACCATGTCTTTTCTTAAGAGTTATATTGTTTCGTACCATATAAAATAATGTCTCTTAACTCGAAAAGATTCAATATAATTTTAATATTTTAAAAAATCATGAATATATACGTTTTAATAATTTTAATTTGTTATTTAAAAATTATATAGAAAAATCAACAACTAAGCTTATGATAATAATATTAGCATCGATCGATTTTTCGATCAAAATTTCGGACAATATTGATCAAGGTGACGAAACATGACACATAAATTTTAACAAGTCACATAAAATCTACGTGAGCATGACAAAAGGACTTTAGCAAGCCGGATAATTGATTTTCCATGTCACTCGTTTACATGAATCCTACGTGTCATGCTTACGTGACTCGTCATATCGGTGTTGTTTGAAATTTTGATCGAAAAATTAAATAGGTGTTGTATTATTATCGGAGGCTTAGTTGGTGACCTTTTTATATAATTTTTAAAGCAAGAGCTAAAATAATTAAAATGTGTATAGATCGTGATTTTCTAAAACATTAAGCCTTATTATTTTTGTGATTCTTTATTTATAAAACAACTTATCCTTCTTACATTTTGTTTATGACTTTCATAACCATCATATCTAAATTTGATCTTAAAAGGAGTTTAGTAGTCAACAAATAATTAAAAGTGTTTTGATACTAATTTACTCTAGAAAGTTGCGATTTAATCCCAATTGATGCAACGACTTGTTCAAAAATATCTCACTATCTCGTAAATAAAAAAAAATCACTATATCCATTGAAATCATTGTGCCTATTCATCCAAGAGACATATTTATTTGGCAGCAAGAGACATATTTAAAAAAAATAATTTGATGAGAATTTTCATAAGAATTGTCAAATTGAAAAGATCACTTTTAAACCATAAAACTATATATATATATATATATATATATTAAAAACTATAAAACACACTGTATATATTTCATAATTGTTAGTATGTGAAAAAATCTAAATAAAAGTAACGATTGTTTTTTCATAATTCTTGCACCCAATTCAACAACAACAATAATAATAACCTAAATTGTAAGTAAAAAAAAAAAAAAAAAAAGAGGCAAACCCTGCATGTTTGCCCTGTCGAAGGCGCAAGACTGTGCACTTGGGCTCGCAGAGGCAAGGCTAGGTGGTCTTTAAAAAAAAAAAAAAAATGCAACTCCTGGCAAACTGGAATTCGGTGGAAAATCTTGGTTCTATTTTCAAGGCTCTAAAACCCATATTCGGCATCTTTCTTTTTTTTTTTTTTTTTTTTTTTGCCTAAAAACACCTCAAAATCGCTAAAATGAGGTCAATAAACTCGTTTCTAACCTTTACATTTTTGTATTTTATTTACTCTTATTTATGTTTTTCATATTTTTTATTATTAAAAAATATGATTTGTTCATCATTATGCATTAATTTTTAAATAAAAATCTATAATAATGTAAACTGATATTTTAATATTATGAAATTTTAAAAAACATCTTAATATTTTTTTTATAAGATTGCATCAAATAAAAACAAAACAACAATCAAAATAAAAACCTGTATAAAAAATAACAAATAAATCTTTTTAAAATTTTGAAAATATGTACATTATATATATACACACACATACCTCTGTCTCCAATCACATTTCACTACAAAATCAAATCAACTCATATAAATAAATAAATAACGGGAAAACATTGGTATGGTCTGGATGATTTTTGTACCATCTTTCTTACTAATTAATTATTTCCTTTAATAATGCAGGATTAGTTGATGTTATACCAATCATGGAGGCAGCTTCCAAGAAAAGAGCCCAAAATGTTGCAGAAAAGGCCAGGGAAGTCTGCAACAATGAAAGGGTAACAATGCATTTAGTGTTCAACTAATTATTTACCCACGCTACGTTGCGGATGTAGTAAAAAAAATCATTTTAAAATTATAATTTTTTAATTAATTAAATTTTTATTTTTTTATTTTTTTTGCTAAAAAAAAACATAAATCATTCTTCTTTATAGATTGATTTTAAAATAAAAAATATAATAATTTTAACTAAAATATTAATCAAGAATTAAAAAACCATAAAAATATAATTTTTGTAGTATTTTATTCTAAAAAATAAATTTATAATTAACGAACAGATTTTTATAAAAATTAATAAATGAAAAAAATTCTTATTTAATGCTATTGAGAACATTAATTTTTAAAATTATCCATACAACGCTACGAGTATATAGAACAAAATCATTTAAAATTTTTATAATTTTTTATTTAATTATTATAATTTTGTTTTTTGTTTTTCATAATTTTTTTGCTTAACAAACATGATCGATTCTTCTTTATTTATGAATTCTTAAATAAAAACTCATAATAATTTAAATCTAAAATATTAATTAAGAATTCAAAAACAAATACTTTAAAATTATATATGTTTATAAGAATGTATTAGAAAAATAAAGTTACAATTAATGTATGACTTGAATAAAAAGTAACTAATGAAAAAAATAAAAATTTATTCTTATTTAATGTTGGTGAGAAGATTATTTTTTTCAAGTATATCCATCATGTCTATATATATTTGTTTACAAAATATCAGTAAAATTAGCATAAAAAACTATATTTGAATAATTGGTTGGTTCTTTTAAACAAAATTTTTAATTGTTTTATTTCAAATAAATTGGTTCTATAATGTTAAAAAAATATATTCATAGTAAATAATTTGTATTATGTTGGAAGATATGTAGTTAATTTTTAATAAAATTAATGATTCAATAGTTTTTTATATATCTTGATCATATCTAATGAACTGAGACAAATTATTTGAAATACGCTTTTAACCTTTTAGAATAAAATAATTATATACTTATTTATGTACAACTATCATTTAAAATCTCTAAGAACTCATGATATTTATTATACCAATTTACTTTTTTAAAAACGAAAAAAAAATCATGTTTTAAATTTTTATTTTAAAATTCAAATATAAAAAAATAAATTATATTTATCATTAAATAAACTATTAATTGGATGAGAATTTTCATAAAAAATGATATATTCAAAGAATGAAATTTAAATGATAAGAGTAATATAAGTTGAAGTATGTGCTAATTTTAAAATATAAAAAGATAGTGTTTATATATATATATTCTATGTGAAAATGAAAGAAAAATAAAAACTAAGGATTAAAAAAAACGTTACAACATGAGGGACAAAAAATAGAAAAAAGTTTTAAATTTGCATATTAATGTCCAAAAACACACAAAAAATGACACACAAAAATTACTTAAATTGACATCAAATGAATTTTTTGCTTAAAAAAACACAAATCATTCTTCTTTATGGATTGATTTTAAAATAAGAAATATAATAATTTTAACTAAAATATTAATCAAGAATTAAAAAAACTATAAAAATATAATTTTTATAGTATTGTATTCCAAAAAATAAAGTTATAATTAATAGACGAGCTTTTACAACAATTAATAAATGAAAAAAAATCTTATTTAATGCAAATGGGAAGATTAATTTTTAAAATTATCCATACAATGCTACAGGTAGATAAAACAAAATCATTTAATTTTTTTATAATTTTTTATTTAATTATATATATATTGTGTTTTCATAAATTTTTTGCTTAACAAACATGATTTATTCTTCTTCTTTATTTAGGTATTCTTAAATAAAAATTTATAATAATTTAAATCTAAAATATTAATTAAGAATTCAAAAGCAAATACTTTAAAATTATATTTGTTTATAAGAATGTATTAAAAAATAAAGTTACAATTAATGTATAAAATTGTATAAAAAGTAACCAATGAAAAAATAAAAATTTATTCTTATTTAATCTTGGTGAGAAGATTGTTTTTTTTTCCAAATATATGCATTAGGTCTATATATATTTGTTTACAAAATAATCAGAAAAATTAGTATAAAAAACTATATTTGAATGATTGGTTGGTTCCTTTAAGGAAAATTTTAATTGTTTTATTTCAAATAAATTGATTCTATAATATTAAAAAAAGATATTCATAGTAAATATTTTGTATTATGTTGGAAGATGTGTAGTTAATTTTTAATAAATTTAATAATTCAATAGTTTTTTATATGTCTTGACCATACGTAATGAACTGAGATAAATTATTTGAAATACGCTTTTAACCTTTTAAAATAAAATAATTATATATTTATATGTGCAACTATCATTTAAAAATTCTAAGAATTCATGATAAATATTATACCAATTTACTTTTTAAAAAAGAAAAAACGATCATGTGAATAAAATATTAATTGGATGAGAATTTTTATAAAAAAATAATAAATTCAAAGAATAAAATTTAAATGATAAGAGTAAT